AGCTTATTTCATACCCGGCTCAGCACATGCGGCATTATTATTATTATTAATTATTATTATTATTATTCTAAAGCCAACACGGGAGGCCTACCTAAGCGGGAAAACAAGAGGAGTGGCCCACGAATGCCTTTCAAAGGCTATTCGTTTTGTATGCCCCCCCCCCGCGTTTTTTAAAAATATCCTAGTTAAGGGATTTCGAGACGAATTTTTCCTCATTTCAATATTCTCTCTCCCCCGTCCCCCGCTACCAGAAAACAAGGGCTGGGGGGCCGCACCCTTTGCGACCCAAATTCTCCCTATTTTAGAGGGAGGAGTAGGAAGCCCGAGACTCCACCCGAGAGCGACGCTTCCCATTCTTGGCCCCCCACCACCTCAGCAAAGACCTCCCCGCTCCTTGGGGAGAAAGAAAGCGGGAAAACCTCCCTCCCACCCCCCTCGAGCCCGTGCCCCATGCAGCCTCAGTTCTCCCGCGTCGCCGCTGCTCAGCGCTCCTGGGTATTCCCGGTCCCCCTCCGCCGCCATTCCGGTTCCCAAGGGAAGGAGGCGACGCACTCACCACTTTGGACCAGGAGAAGCCCGAGGGCCGCGCGCTCCCTCTCTCCCTCTCTCTTGCTTCTGCGGCTCGCCGGCTGCTTCGAGCGTCACCTGCTCGGCCAGGCGCAGAGCGAGGCTGCCCGCGTAGACGCACAGCGCGATGAACTATGAATCATTCAATGGGGGGGGGGGGAGGCTCTGTCCTCCGCCGCCGCATCCTTCTCCTCTCCCCTCGCAGGTGCAGCAGCAGGAACGGTTGCCAGGATTCCCTGAGGGAGACGCGAGCCCCGGCAGATGGGCTTTTTTTTTTTGTCCTCCCATTTACACACGCTGCAGATAAGAGGCCTGACGCTCAAGGGTGGGAGGGCGCAGATGGGTTTTGTTTGCTTTTTGGCCACTGAATCTCTCCCCCTCCCCGCCCTGCAGCGAGTCCTCTCCTGGTGTTTTGATACGGGGATAACTGGGAAACACTGGCTTGCGAGCGCTGCAATTGGAGAACAGCCTTTGGGCGTTGAAGACACTCGAACTCAGGACTAAAGGGAGAAAGGTGCTAAGAGGAAGGCACGCGTGGCAAACCCTCACCGTGATCAACTCCCACCCACTGTGGAATAATAATAATAATAATAATAATAATAATAATAATAATAATAATAATAATAATAATAATAATAATAATAATTTATTTATACCTCGCCCATCTGGCTGGGTTTCCCCAGCCACTCTGGGCGGCTTCCAACAGAACACTAAACTACAATAACCTATTAGACATTAAAAGCTTCCCTAAACAGGCTGCCTTCAGATGTCTTCTAAAAGTTTGGTAGTTATTTTTCTCTTTGACATCTGGTGGGAGGGCGTTCCACAGGGCGGGTGCCGCTACCGAGAAGGCCCTCCAGAATTGGCCTCCACAGTCACAGACTCACTATTAAAACCGTGTTAATGGAAGACAATCTTGCTTGGCTACAGCTTATCACCAAAGAAGAAATAAAGGTAAAGGTACCTCTGCCCGTACGGGCCAGTCTTGCCAGACTCTAGGGTTGTGCGCTCATCTCACTCTATAGGCCGGGAGCCAGTGCTGTCCGCAGACACTTCCGGGTCACGTGGCCAGCGTGACGAAGCTGCTCTGGCGAGCCGGCACCAGCGCAGCACACGGAACGCCGTTTACCTTCCCGCTAGTAAGCGGTCCCTATTTATCTACTTGCACCCGGGGGTGCTTTCGAACTGCTAGGTTGGCAGGTGCGGGGACCGAACGACGGAAGCGCACCCCGCTGCGGGGATTCGAACCGCCGACCATGCGATCGGCAAGTCCTAGGCGCTGAGGTTTTACCCACAGCGCCACCCACGTCCCACAAAGAAGAAATAGGAGCTTCCTAATAGTCTGCCGCAGCCTCCCCCAACTCTTCCAGAGTTTGGGGATTAAAACTTGCACTAGGCACTTCCAACCCGCATCTACAATGCAAGAGCCCTGCGGGATTGAGCCAAAGGCCCATCAAGCCCAGCACCACTGTGCTCATGGTAGCCAAGTTCCCATGGGAAAGCTCATGAGCACAGCAAGCACTCTCCCCATTTTGTGACTCCCAGGAACTGATCATCACACCTTTATTGCCACCTCTATTAGAGGTAGTACATAGCCAGCACAGCTGGTAGCCACTGACCACCTTATACTCCATGAAAATTTGAGAAAATAACCACAATTGCAAACCTGGGTCAGGTGAAAACCAATGTTTTGGTTCCAGGAGGAATTGATGGCTGGGAAACCTATTCTGGTTCAGTAATCTTTAGAGGTTACAAGACAGCCACCCAGTCTACCTTGTCTTACAGTTCCTTCCTTGAAAGCTGTTGAATTAATTCACTATAGCTAAGCCTAACCCTGGAATAATTTTACCAGCTAAATGTCATTGTACTAGTTTGGTACAGGGGAAGGGGGAGTCATTGCTTGGATAGAAAAGGCTGTGAGATTTTCTGAAGGTGGGGTTATGCAGCCAGGAAGAAAACTGCTGCCAGGAGTTTCCACAGCCAACCCCTCATCTCAGGATTTTGATTACTTCGCCCATCCTATGGTCTGTACAAGACTCACACAACCATGTTTTACTCACCACCATGTAGGGTCACCATATGTCCAGAATTTCCCAGACAAAAACCCCCACAAAATTTCTAGGAAAATCTGTATGTATAGCAGCTCATGGCAGCAGTGCAGTTTTTGCCGATTAATTTTTTGTGATTCTGCCAAAAAAACTCAACAACTTTTCTGTCTGGATTTTCACTGTTTGGAATCTTTTTCTTTGACAATCGCTCGTAGCCAAGTAAGATTGTCTTCCTTAAACACAGTTTTAACAATGAGTCCGTAAGTGACTGTGGAGGCCAATTCTGGATCCACATGTCCTTCCACAGTGGGAACATTGGTTTCCTGGCAGGAGTTGAGAACGGTGTGGATTTGCCAAGCGTGCCTTCCTCTTATCACGTTTCTCCCTTGCGTCCTGAGTTCGAGTGTCTTCAAAGCCCATGACACCTTTGGTAAAGGCTTTTCTCCAACTGGAGCGCTTGCAGGCTAGTGTTTCCCAGTTGTCAGTATTTATACTACATTTTTTTATATGGCAACCCTAAATCAGGCAATACATCTTTTGGGAGCTTGTTCCACCTTTGGTGCACAAGAGGTTGCTACACAAATTTTAATGGTTATTTCCTTTTGCAGTTAAGAAATGTTCCTTCTGTTGAATTGGTTCTAAAAAGTTAATCTTATCATATATGGCCTTGAGGAGCTTTGTATCCAACTAAGTTCTATCCAGATTAGACCCATTAAATTTAATGGGCCCAAGTAGTCATGCACATTGATTTCACTGGGTCTTGTTTACCAACACCCCCCAGTCCACAAAAGTAGTAAGTATTCTAGTTTCTGGGAGGAAAAGTCAGGCAGAGCCTGTGAGTGACAGTACTCCACAGCTCTGTAGAAGGGCAGAGGGAAGAGAAGGGAAACTTTAGGTTTGTATAATAATTGAGCAAATTAAGATTATTTAAATTTAAGTTCCTGGTGATAAGAGGTTGGGATTTCCTTTAGTGATAACAGCCTCAGCCAGTCTCCTCTAAAAGGCAGACTTGGGACTCCGAAGGAACCTAGGCTGCTGTAAGTTGCAGGACCCCTCTTCATAGTTAATAAACTGTAACAAATCCAGTGTTTTTTTCTGGGAGTACGCATACCCCTAAACATTTTGTGAATCTTTGTACTTTTGTCCATTTACTGTATTTATTTTTCCTGATCTGAACTATAAAATGGTGATTTTCTTTAATCAAGATGAGAATACCCCTAAACTTTTTTAAAGAAAAAAAGCACTGAACAAACCTAATTGTAGTTGTAAGCAGTACTATATAAGAATGGAGATACTTTATAAAGTGATACTGTATTACTAAATCTAAGTGGTATTATAAAGATGGATATTTTCCTAGTTAACTTGGGTGGCCTGGAAAAGCAGCAGCTAATATTATACATCAAAACGCACAAGCACAGCAAATTAAGAATGGGCCACGGATCAAGAACCACACACACATTAAAGAGAGAAAAAATAAGTTTTTTATTTTGGAAAAAATAAATTTAGCACTATCACAAATCAAATTACATAGAAAAGCTAAATAAAAATCAACTTCAAGTTTAAATAATTTATGTACTATAAACAGAACTGAACAGTTTCAATATTACAGCAGACAGAGCAAAATATCTGTGCAAATGAACAGTATGGCTCTATACAGTTTTATTGTGGTGACATAATAGGCATATTTCATTATTTTTAATCATGTGGTTTGCTGTACCACATTACTTTAAGAAAAGAAATTAAGACCTGCAAGTTCTTTTGCGCATACCCCTACCCCCAATTTGCAGTTAGAAAATAATGTGCATCCAGCAGCATTGGAATATTTACCGTAAATTGTGCTAGCATCCTCTGTGTGCATCCACCTACAATTACATAGTTGCTTAACTTGCCAATGTTTTTATTTGGTGCTATTTGTTTGAGTCAACAAAAAAATGCACCTCCGATCAGTAGACAAGCTGTGAGCTTCTTAACAGCTGCTTTTACCTGAGCACCAGCACCGATATCAACCTTACAGACACTTAAAATGTTGTAAGAACTAACTATATTGTAAGACTCATGACTGTGAACCAAGACTTGCAAACACAGTGTTATACTTTGCAAGTGAGGAATGCACTTCCTTACAAATGCAATTTTAAACTTCTCACACTACAAGATCAACTAAAAACAGATTCTTCGTAACTGAATTAACCGTAACCAGCAGCATTTTCAAGCTTCCCCACCCCCTCTAAAATCCAGTCAAAATATGAAAGGCAAATACTTATTAGAAGCCACAAGGTAAACACTACCCAACAGAACTTATTCAAGTTTCAGTTGCAGCTTACATTTCCTCTCAATTCAAGAAAGAATCTTATTTAAAAACAAAAACGACAGATTATTTTTAAAAAAAAAAAATAAAGAAGCAGATTGATAGTTTAAGATAAACAAGAGACTTTGGCTACAATCCTAAATACAAAGACCACTGAAGTCTATAGGAAACATGCCAGGAATTGGGTTGTTTAACCTATAAGTCAAGAGGTTTAACAACTGGAAGGAGTTTGGTTGTAGCTATTGGGTTCTTTGGAGACCCTCTATAGCGAACCTTCTTTTCTGACAATTTTCTCCTGAAATCACATTTGTCAGGTGTAGCAACCAGAATATTTACATTTGTGTTCGTTTTTACAACAGCTTTTGGTGCTTCGTGATTAGTTAGGTCCTCAAGGACTGACTTGGATTGATGACTGGTAGTCAGTGTCTCTTTGCAGGTTGTACCAGGCCTGCTGGCTTGCTGTAATGGATGTATTTGTTGTGGGCAGGATTTGGAAGGCAGAGAATACCGATTGCAAGTAGACTCTTGCTTGCAGGTTGATTCAGAAGAAAGCAGAGAAGCTGTAGATGTACTAGAGGTATTTTCCATGTAGGACGGCAATGCGGTTTCAAAACTCACTGATTTAACAAGAGAAGGACAGTCATTGCCAGCTTTTATTAATCCACAAGCAACTGACGGCTTGTTAGCCTCCAAGAGGGAGTTCATTCTCCGTACTGACTGGCGGACAGGCGTACGTTGAAACTTAAGTGGTGATTTGGCTTTGGTTGCAGAACATGGCTCATTTAATGAAAGTTTGTTGAACCAATGGATATGGTCAGCAACCTTTCCTGGAGGGGAAAATGTAGATTTCTCAATAGTTTCCATGTGTAGATAACATGTATTGTTTCTGTCGCCATCTTCTGGCAACTGAGAAAGAAGCTCCCCTTTTTCAAGACATTCTTTAATTTCTGAGTAACAGTATCTAAATTCTTCATCGGTTTTTTCATCCGATTCCAATGTCTCATTTTTCAGGGTGTTTGTGCTATTTAAATGCATCCCTGGAGATGTCATTATGGTCAAGTGCTCCTTTTTTATCGATCCCTCACTTTTGCTAAGACCATGGACTGGAAGATTAGTCTCTGTATTGTTTGGGAAGAGGGAACTGTCTACAGCTTTGACTTGATCCATATTTGGCAGACGTTTGTCGGAGACGTTTGATTTATTCGCAGAACCTACAAATGGAGTCTTCTGTTCTACATTTGTCAGTTTCTGAGCTTGGGCTTTAGAGAGCTCTTCCTCTAGATTGAGTTCTGAAAAGCATGCTGTACCTCGTGTTAAATTTAATTTTGAAGGCTCAGTTTCAAATAAATTATGAAGGTTGCTTCCCGATTCAGAAAATGCTGTCTTAATTTTCAATAAAGTGTCTGCAGTCAAATCATTTTCATCCTCACAAAAAGAAGTTTGTTGTTTTTTGCTTTCCTGTTCAGAACTTGCATCAGTGGGTCTTGACTTAACAGGAATGATTGGAGGTATTCTAGTTGTAAGAAGAGGCTCAGAAAAAGAGGTTTCTGCTTCACGACATGCCATTAAAGCAGCAGCCCTATTGCTAGTCTTCTCAGATCCTGCAGTACTGGGGCCGGTCCAGGACATTCGGTAGGTTGTTTCATTATGTTGGTTTTCAATTTGCAAGTTTTCCTCTGACTTGCTGATGTTTTTGGAATCTTAAAAAAAAAAAAAACCACACACAGTAAGTATATCAGAAACTTATAATCTTGCTGATTAAATTTACACTGAAACCACTTGGGATCGCAAATGTGATACTTGTTGTTGCAGTAGTGCCATTAAGGACTTTGGCACCTGCTCACTGCACTCTTAATCATGAGGTAAAATGGGGGTTGCCTTTTTTTCTCCCTTGAAAAGTACATAGAGTTGAAGGCAGAAGTGATGCTCTTTCCCACTTCCTCTTTCAGCTATACCTGCTTTTCAAGGCTGAAATCAGGATCTGACCAGCAGCTAAACAGAAAGCAAAGTAATCATTGAGGTAGTACGGAAATAATAATAATAATTTTATTATTTATACCCTGCCCATCTGGCTGGGCTTCCCCAGCCACTCTAGGGAAAGGGAAGCAATCTGAGAGGCTTGAGGAAAGGAAAATGGAGTGGCCAGTAGGTAAAAATGAAATGTCACAAGTGTCAGGAGATAGCTCATGTGCATGTGTGCACACAGTAAAACACATCCTTTTAAAATTCCAGTTTATTCTTGGGTTCCCACATCCCATAAAAAAATAATCCAAAACCCCTGTATCTTTTTCAATTGATTGAACACGAAAACCCATTGCTTTCCAGTGTTGCCATAGCACAAAAACATGATATGTGGTACAAATGCTTATCATCTGCACACTCTTTTACAAGGGATCTGTTCAAAACCACCATCAACTAATAGGTAATCTCTGGGTCCACATATATATTCCATGATTTGTGTGAGAGTTACATAGGAAGAGCACAAACTCATGAGAATCTGTGCCTTGGATCAATGTTCTTCTGGTGCTGGCAAGAACTGGATCTGGCAATTTTTCTGTGCAGTCCACCATCCTAAGCTTTTATTTGACAATTGAATTTGGGGACGGGACTTGTGTTAAAATGATAAAAATTCAAGATCTGCTGCAATTCTATTTGGTTCGACTTTTTTACCCAGACCCATTGGAAAAGCCAAAAAATAATGATGTTGTGTTTTTCTTTTTTGTCTGGAGTGGGGAGAGAAGTAATCAGAGAGGTGGTACCCGCAGCACTCTCAGAAAATTCCAGATGTGTCCACAGCTCAAGGCTGCTGACATCTGAATAACACATTTGCCTGTTTGCCTGTATAAAGTAAAACTTTTCTACCATACGATCACGGGTGACACCGCCTCCAAGAAAAATGCAGAAGGAATAGACATACCACACTTATGTTTTTCCTAACCTTGGGAACACAACAATGGGTATTAAACTGGTGGTCGCTACCTCAATCTCTGGTGCCATTTCAGGTTTCAGGAAGGAAGGGGGAACAAGATTCATTTAAGCACCAAGAATGACCATATGATTTGTTATGGTTACTTCTTTTATACCAAATACGATATGATGCTCCAGAAAAATAATCACTTGTGCTCATAAATATGTGTGTTCATTTTGGTCTGTGGACTGCCCTACTCCACCTTATAGATGTTACTATCAGCTTCTCTTTAGGAAAACAGAAAGTGCATGCACACCATGCTACTGTCTTGATCCACACTAATACTGCTCTCAGCATTCTTTCAGAACACGTGTGCCCAAGATCAGCTTAGATCATCTCAGCTCCTTCTCTAAAGATCAAACAGCCAATAAAAATCTGTGACCTTAGCATTCAGCCCAAATAGTATCTACCTGTTTGAAGATCAGAAAGCAAGAGTCCCTATAAGAGTGGCCAACCAGTTTACTGCTCCAAGGAATTTGGTGTCTTCAGCAAACTAGGCCACTTCATATCATTTGAAGTCAGGGCTGAGCAGTGAACAAGCTGTAAAGCACCAGTCCCAACTAGGGCTGGGCAATATCTCAAATGGTCTGAAACTGGTATCATGATTGGAATGCCATACCTGTTTCAGACATGCTTGGTAATTTTATTTATAATATAGAAAGCAACATTTGACACTTAGAGGGTAAACCAAATTTACCTTTTTTTGTTATATATTCACCAACACATGGGCTTAAAAATGCAGCTGTCTTTCCATGATTCATCCCACTTTCAACATTTTGTTGACTTGCAAGTCGCCGACCAACATTTTCAGATCTGTTGCTAGGCAGATGTTCCACTGCAGTATTCTTTTTAGGATAAAAAAAAGTTTATTTTATGTAGACAGCACAAATGCTTTACTGCTTTTACAATTTAAGGAAAGAATCAGAATTTAAAGATGCTGCTGTACTATATATTTAAACAAGGAATGCAATGAAAAGCTTGCAATGTTAAGTCTGTCATGTGAATGGAGAAAAGTAGTGTGTTGCATTGGGAATTCGTGGTAGCAGCACAATCCAAAGTCTATAGGAATAACTGGCTACAACTGAGAAAAAGCTGCATATGGCAAGAGATAGACATCAAGCAGCTGTAGAAGAGGAACACAAACAGGGATCAGCTATTTGGAGCTAGCTGAGTAGGTGAACAAGGGACAGAGAAATGGCAGTAGTACAGACCTTCATGGACTTCGGCATGCAGTATTTAGACTTTGTGACATTTGCCAAACATTCTCCATCATATGGATTAAGCTTTCAGCCCCTTATTTGTTTATTTATTTATTTACTTACTTGTTAAAAACAACCTAAAACATAAATACTGTAGCCTGGGAAAGGCTTTTGGAAACTAGAGATTACAATTGGAACAAGATCACAAGTCATCAAGAGAGATGGGCTCCCTGCTTCAGTTCCAATGCATATCTGCACAGAGAATGCAGTTTGTTTACTTAAATCATTTATAAATACCGTATTTTTCGCACCATAGGACACACTTTTTCCCTCCTAAAAAGCAAGGGAAAATGTGTGTGCGTCCTATGGAGCGAATGCAGGGGGGAGGCAGGCGGGAAAAGCCCCCAAGAGCCGCACACAAGCTCCGTGCGCTCTTGTGGACTTTTCCACAGGAGGGAGAAGGGACTGACTGGCCGCATCAGTCCCTTTTCCCACCTCCCAGAAAAGCCAGGAGAAGCCGCGATCTCTTTAAAGGGGTTGCGCGGCTTCTGCGGGCTTTTGCGAGAGGTGAGGGAATCCCCCCACCTCCCAGGAAAGCCAGGAGAAGCCGTGATCTCTTTAAAGCTCTGGAGGGTGGCGCGGAGCTGCCTGTGCTCCAGGGCTTCCTGCAGCTCTGCGCCACCCTCCCGATCCCTGCGTGAAGCCGCACGGGGCTCCGGAGGGTAGCGCGGAGCTGCCTGCGCTCCAGGGCTTCTTGCAGCTCTGCGCCACCCTCCCGATCCCGGCGCGAAGCCGCGCGGGGCTCCGGAGGGTGGCGTGGAGCTGCCTGCGCTCCAGGGCTTCTTGCAGCTCTGCGCCACCCTCCCGATCCCGGCGCGAAGCCGCGCGGAGCTCCGGAGGGTGGCGCAGAGCTGTCTGCGCTCCAGGGCTTCTTGCAGCTCTGCGCCACCCTCCCGATCCCGGCGCGAAGCCGCGTGGAGCTCCGGAGGGTGGCGCAGAGCTGTCTGCGCTCCAGGGCTTCTTGCAGCTCTGCGCCACCTTCCCGATCCCGGCGCGAAGCCGCGCGGGGCTCCGGAGGGTGGCGCGGAGCTGCCTGCGCTCCAGGGCTTCTTGCAGCTCTGCGCCACCCTCCCGATCCCGGTGCGAAGCCGCGCGGGGCTCCGGAGGGTGGCGCGGAGCTGCCTGCGCTCCAGGGCTTCTTGCAGCTCTGCGCCACCCTCCCGATCCCGGCGCGAAGCCGCGCGGAGCTCCGGAGGGTGGCGCAGAGCTGTCTGCGCTCCAGGGCTTCTTGCAGCTCTGCGCCACCCTCCCGATCCCGGCGCGAAGCCGCGCGGAGCTCCGGAGGGTGGCGCAGAGCTGCCTGCATCCTGAAGCCTGGTGCGCAGCTTCGCGCACCTCTCCGCAAGCCTGGGGAGACCAGCGCGGCTCCCTAGGCTTGCAGATAGCAGGCTGTTCTGGGGCTGGGGAAAAAATTTTTCCCTTTATTTCCCCCCCAAAGAAATTACGTGCGTCCTATGGGGCGAAAAATACGGTACTTTAAAAGCATTTAAAAATCGGTTAACGTTAAAAAAATTCTCTACAGTTGCAACAATTAACTGAAAGCTCCGCAAGACTGAAAGTAATCACTTCTCTTAAGAGTCTAATACAATTACAAGAGATGTTAAATAGTACCTCTTTGCTGCTCCTTCCCAGAATGAACTTTAATCGCAATGACCTGCGCACCATTTCTTTCCGACTAACCTTAGGAGAAAAGCAACCCATTTTTCCAGACTCAACCCTGAAAAGAATCAGAAATAAGCTGAGTACACATTGTCCTGAACTCAAATACCCTAGGTTTTAAGTCTAATAATGTACATAATTTGGCTTGGATCCAGACTTTGCTTCTGCCAGTGGGAGCTTCCCAAGTAGAGTTTCACTCAAGGGGTACTGCTACTGGCAAAAAAGGGTGCAGGAAGCAGCTTTTGCAAGTTCCCTTTGTGCTCTTCAAGAGTTTGTGCTCTGGAGAGTTGAGAGACCCCAGTGAATAATGTGGTGGATAAAAGCCTTATGTTGATAGAAGGTCCTTCCATTTACAGATTAAGTTTGGCTCCAACACAGTAACCACCCCTTAAGCATAAAACAGGCCATTTATACCTAAATTGTGGGAGACGGTGTGAAAGACTGTACAAAGTTCTACCCCATTAAATGATTTGAAAATACATTTGATGATGCACTGAGAGGATGGGAGCCAAAATATAAACTCCAGTTTTTAAAAGAACCAAGGTCACAGAATTCAGTTAACTCATTAACTTAGAAATTGTATTTAATCTAGAAAATTTAGAGTTCTATATAGACTTCTTTAAACATCATGAAACATAGGCAGCATTTCCCCCTCTGTTCCTGTAATGCCAATCTTCTGACAAACTTACCTATGTACTTTTTTGCTGGCAATTCTTTTGCTTCTTCGACTTCCTACACTAGGCAGGTGCTTTTCACTACTGACTGAGATAGACACAGAACTCTGAGGTGCGTCAAGAGATACATTAGGGCTTGTTTCAAAATGAGCTGTGAATAGGTTAGAGAGAAGTGTTTAAATGATCTATTGTTAAAATAACTACAAAATTATTTCCCCTTTTAAAAACCTATGATATGGGTTTCCATTTTTCACTGAAAATTTGTAAGTTCTCATTAAAGTTGTTCAAGAAATTGTGTATTTAACTGTTTTCAAATCAGTTATTGAAGACAGAACGTCTCTCTTGGGACTTAACCCATCCACTCTCCTTTATATGCTTTTTCATACATATGTTAGGGAAGCTGATTTGTCTCCCATAGGCACCAATCCATAACTTAGCCCAATGCATGAGAGGGCTCATAATGCAAGTACAATTAGGAACATAAACAATAAATGCAAAACAGTCATCTTTATGTAGCCATGTTTGACTGCAGTAACTCTACAGTTTTGTAAGGCAAAGAGGGTTACCATGAGGGACAGAATTCTGAACTGATTAGGTTGGAGAAAATATTTAAATAATCATTACTTTACCCGAACCAGGTGTTGATCCAACGCTAAAAAGGCTACTTGGTAGCAATTCAAGAGCCAAGTTATGCCTGATAGATCGCCTTTTCTTGTTAGAGAAACCTTGAGAGGAATCAGCTGGACATTTACGTTTAAAATTTGGAGTAAGTATCACTGGAGTCACTGATGAAAAGACTGTAAAGAAAACAACAGATGAAATAAAAGCTTTAAAATGGCAGACAGCAACAAGATAAAACTGCTGTACAGTTGAAACAGTGGAACTTGGTATTTGCACTAGTAGCTAGAGCAGGTCTGGCACTCACATTTTTTATAGGTGAAATAATAGGTTAATGGAAAATACAGATAGGAAACATTTTTAAGTGGTTGCTTACTTCCTCCTGCAGTTAGTAAATTCCTGCCTTTTAAAAAAAAACACAAATTTTATTTCCATAACTTCTAGAAAGTCTCATCTCCCCTTGCAGATGACAAACATTTAAAGCCATGCACTCTTTGCAATGTTAGACAAGGATATCTCATTGGCAAAATTTATTTAGGAGAAAAGCAATGTTTCTGAAGGAAAATGTACCCAAGTTAAGAGAGATTCTTTAGTAATTTGCATTGATGGATAGCATATCAATGGGACCTAAGCCCCAGTATGCAGTAGCAAAAAGCAGCCCAGTTTCTAACTCTGAAACTCAGACCATTACAATCAGTGCAAGTGCAACGGCAAGGGCAAGCAAGCCAGTATTACAGACTTGTTATAGTAATCTGCAGCACCCTATCCGAGCACAGTCTTGTTATAAAATGCACAAGTCTTGAGGACAAGGTATGAAGTGCTCCATGCAAATGCACTATACCTACCATGCCTGTCTTTCTGTGGTGTAGTGGAGGGGGTTCTGTTAGATTTAAGTTTATTCAGAGCTCCACTAACAATATCTGAAATTGAAGACACACCAAGCAATCAAGCTTTTACTAGGAATTTTATATTGCTCAATTTCTAAATATAAAGTGATTTTTGTTATTAAAAAAGAGAAAGGATAGCTTCTTAATGATGCATCAATTTTTGTACTTCTGTTTAAGCTGAAACCCAATTTGTCAAAATTGTTATGTGCCGTTACCAAGCCGATCCTTAAAAAAATTACTGTTTCAGCACAATGAATCCCAGTCGTGCTGACGAAGATGCATACAACTGTTGAAATAAGTACTTGTTTCGCTCTAAGGTCCTACCTCTTAGGTTAGCACATTTATGCCAGCCCCATGAAATGGAAAATGGTCTTCAGAAACACTTCACTAGAACCTTTAAAAGTATTCAGTTACAAGATTTGGGTTCCTTACCATGAAGGTTCATGTTTTGCCTGTGGAGACAGTGACTATGTAAGCTGTATCTCTTTCATTCAGCCAAGGCAGGGACTTGTAACTAGGCAATTTGATTATCCTCTCCCTCCCCTTCTGGCTCCTCCTCCAGTTCGGCACCATGTCCAAGCAGAAGGGATCTCGTAAGAAACATTAGGTTTAGATAAGAAAAGTGGGTGGGTGGGGGCAGCCATATAGTAGCAGGAAAAGGAAAAAGCCTGCCACAAACAAACTTCGATTGGGAGTTTTCATGCATGCAAGCAGCTACTTGAATAAAATAATGCCACAACTTGAGTGTGGCAATGGATATCTCTACGTTGCCAAACAAGAAGGAATATTCAAGGAAAGAAACTGATGTTCCATTCTCAGTGTGGCATGGGAGGAATCCATTTTGAGAGACATAGAAAAGCTATAGATAGACAAAGAGCAGGCAGAAATAAAGGTGGCTGCCTAGTCAGGAAGTAGTAGGTTCTGGAGAACTCTTCTTGCATGTATAGACCTATCTTAATAGTGGCTCATTAAAATGGAGATATCAGTAATGCACAATGGAGTGGGTAAGCACTGGGATTCATAGGCCAATGTTATGTGGGCCTTGATTCAGTGTGCTACAGTGAAGCCAGTCACTTCTCATCCCCTCCTATGACCAGGGTCACAGAATAAAAAGGAACAGCTGATAAGATTATCTAAAGGCCCCTGCTCTTTAAATGAGTAACTCAAGGGTCTGCCTAATGTCTAGGTTATGCCAATGATGCTCCTGAGAATGACTAGAATTGGGACAAAAGAGGGGGAAATTAACTCTTGGGGTATGTGGAACATGTTGTCAACCTTCAGATGAAGACTGATCAGTTCTCAGGATAACTCTAGCCTTACGGAAGATTCAGAGGTTCTTGTTAACTGATAAGGAACTGGGCTCAGATGAATCTTGCTTATGGTGATGAAGGTGGCTTTGAGCAAGGTTAGATGGACTGGAACTGCCTTAAGGAGTTCAAACAGCAGGTGAGATAAAGCATAAAAGTTCATGTTTAATTGCCAGGAAGGAAACTGGTGGGCAGGCAGATGAAGCCCCTCTGATGAATCTCTTTGGATGAGGATATGAACCCAAAGGTTTGGCGCTGAAAGAAGAGAAGCACTTAGGCTTCTTGCTTGAGGCCATTTTGCCCAAGACCTTGTTGCATGCCTGCTTAGGTAAAAGCAAATTCTGATTGTTTCGCTATGGATCTTCAAAGTGGAGAGAGATCACTTGCCAGATTCTGAGAATCCTCACTGGTGAGAGGGATAAGAGACCCCAGAACATACAGGTGATCACCCCAGATGAACTATCCTATGGGATGGTTAAAGATAGCCATTGAGGAAATTTGAGGAAAAAAACATATTTGTACAAATGTTCCAGAGGTCCTGCATGGCCCTGATGAGCTAACCTGATGAGGTCAGGTACTTGAGGCTCAGTAGGAAGCACAAAGATTAGAATCACTTTTCTGGGGTAACAAGTTCCTTTGCCTCTTTCTCCAGTAAGTGGGTGATGCCTGCTTTTATCATTCAACATTTCTGAATGGACATGGAGGTTGGGGATGGGCAGACACTGTCCCAAGACAGTCAAACAAATTCTATCATGTATTGTGCATTACAAAATATAGAATGGAGCCACTCCCCACTGGGATCTAGATGTCAGAATGGTGCTTGTCTGGCTTGGTTTAAGTTGTGAAGTTCTGGTTTCTGAGGAATGACAGTGCCAAAAAGGTTTGCTGCTCCTGAAGTCTTGACAAAAGGAAGAGGACTCTTTGATTGCAGCCTGCCTTCTTCTAGAAACAGACAGTAAATCCTTGTGTCTCTGCTAAAACCTCCTTCAGTGCTTCCTCTCCAAGGAGGCCAGCTTCTTTAAAGGGGACTAAAGCTAGATTACTTTGGGATGCCAATTCTACATTCCAGTGTTTTAGCCATGTTGACATTCTAGTTACAACACCAACCACAATGGCTCTGGTGAAAAATTAACACATCCATTGTGGCATCAATCTAGATAATTATGGGGTGGTCCCTGTGTAGCTTATCTAGTCAAAGTCTGGAACTGGAGTTAAGTGCTTGAACTACAAATGGCTGGCTCTTGCTATGAAGATAGAAGCTGCCCTTATGGGAAAAGCCAGGGCCTCATAACCCTCTTTAAGGTCAAATCAAATTTCTTTCTTTGCCCCTTCCTGGAAGGGGGCATCACAATTCCATTCCAACCCTGACAGCAGGGCTATTATGCGGCTTGTTGCTCTAATGTACAGATGGCCAATGTGGTGCCCTCCAGATGTCGCTGGATGCCAACTCCCATCATTCCTGGCCACTGGTCATTCTGGCTGAAGCTGATGAGATTTGCAGCCCAACAACATCTGAAGGGAATGTTAGGCTATCCATGCTGTAATTGTGCGCACTGTTAAATTTATTGCTGCCTAAATGTATGGTCCACTTTGACTCAAGTATCTAAAACCTATAGGGGAAATCCTCTAAGGAAATTTTGTTGCTGGCAGAAGAGAAGCTTCTTTGGAAGTGCCATGTGCTGGATCCTGCTCAAAAGAATGCAAATCTAAGGCAGAAATCATTGTTGTCTATAAAGTAAATACTGTAATCAAAACCATTAAGCCATCTTATAGCTCCAAGAGTCCTCTGTCCCTTCACTGTCCCTCTTTTCTCTCTGAAGAGATGGTGGCAGGAGATATCCTGGCTGAGGTAATATTCTGGGTTTTGACCCATATAGCAGGGGAGGTTGGATTTGGGTAGATTTTTCCTTTTGGATGTGGTATGTGGATCAGGAGACTGGTGTTCAGAAATGCTCATGTGAAACTTTAGCTTGACTAGATTTAGGGTCAGCACTGACAACTTCTCCTTCCTTGGAATAGTGATGGACTGAGATGTGAAGAAAATCAGATGAAGTTGAGGAAAAGCAGCTTGAACACTTGTAGGAGGGTTGGACACTCAGAACTAAACTCCTTAATATCAGCTGTGAGAGAATCTTTGAAACTTTGAATGAATTCTTTTTCTAATAAAAAAAGGAGAACTTTTAAATGGATAAACTGTCCCTTTTTGAAGGTACAGTGGTACCTTGGTAGTCAAACGGCTTGGCTCTTGAAGAAATCGGCTCCCGAGTGCCACAAACCCAGAAGCGAGTGTTCCAGTTTGTGAACTTTTTCGGGATGCTGAATGTCCTAACGCGGCTTCCGATTGAGTGCAGGAAGCTCCTGCAGCCAACTGGAAGCCGTGCCTTGGTTTTTGAATGGTTTCGGGAGTTGAACGGACTCCCAGAACAGATTAAGTTTGAGAACCAAAGTACCACTGTATAGGAGTTTCTTGAGTGGTGCCACAGGCCCAAGCAGGAGGTGAAGGTTGCAGTAAGGGACAAAAGGAAAGGAAAGCATTTCCCCACATGTACCCCTCAGCTACTTAAGGGAGAAGTACACACTGCAGGGGGAAATTTAGTGCAGGAGAGCTGGGGATGGGAGAGGAAGAAGAATTAAGGAAAAGTACATAGGCCTGAGCTCTAAAGTAGAGGAGGAACTCTGCTTTCGGCAAAGGCACGGACGAAAACAGAAGCAGAGGACAAATAAAGCAGCCTAGTTACATGATCCTGCCTTGGACAAATGAGAGTTCCACTCTGTGGGTTGTATGTTGCCCATGCCAAACTATGAAGCACAATGTTGTTAGGCCCCGCCGCCCTTCAATAAACTTTTTTAAAGTTTTTTTTCCTGAAGGTTAGCTGGAAGACCCAGGATAATTTTCTTCCACTTGGATTCCCTCCCTTTAATCTGCCCAGCAAGGCTGGAAAGTAAGCTCCCTGCAAAGAAATGGGTTAAAACGACCAAAGTGTTAAATAATCCTTCCATAACAATTTGAGATCCCAGCAAAATGAGACATAGAATTTTCTTTGCACAGTTAATACTTTTCAAAAATAATAAATTAAACAGAATGAACACAGGGAAAAAGCAAATATAAAAAAATTCACAAACTCAAAACACAGGTCCAGTTTGTACAAAATTTGCATGCAATTGTTTCAAACTGTTTTTAATATTTTATCTTTAAATTTGCTGAGACCTGCCCTAGGACCATGTGGTGGGAAATAAATAAATAAATAAATAAATAAATAAATAAATACTTACATACTGCTGCTACTACTGCTAATAATAAGCCAATCTATGGCTTAGTGCAAACTAGCAGGTTACTGGAACAAAAATCATGACTCCTGTGCTCTACCCTGGCTGCTGCCAGCACACTATCCAAGGCTAAGCCATGGTTTACCCTGTTACTTCCAAACCTGGGCTTGTCTGCCTAAGATTAACCACAAATGGTAAACCAAAAACAAACCTTGGTTGCAGCTCATGGTTTGCTTGGAGTGAGACAACCACAAGCCTGGGTACAGACATTATGCTAAGTTAAGCCATGCTTAGCTACAGCAGCTAGTCATGATCTTTGATCCAAGAACCTTTATTTTTGTTTATTCACAGTATGCCATAGTTTAGCTTAGCATTGTGTGAATCAGGCCATAGTAAGCAATCATGTGCTAAAGATCAATATTACATCAGCGTATATCTAAAACTCAGATGTGGAAATAGCACTATTGCTAGTGCAACTGCTCACTAGTGCTAAAGGTTTGCCCATATATATGTAAAATAAGAAATAGTGAAGATCTTACATCATATTTACCATGTTCACTGATAAATCTGCAATCTGTTACATATGTAGATTGCAATCTCAAGGTCAAGTGCCCTTAGGTCACTAAGGGCAACACAGTTAAGGTTTCAAGAGCAGCTAGCTTTTCTATTATCTATAGCCAAATAATCAAATTTCCCTTGCCACCTGATAGAGGACACAGAAATATGAGTGTACAAATCAATACTGATAAATAGATGCAAAAGTGTGCTCCTTAAAAAACAAAAAAAAAAAACAAAAACAACAGCACGCTACTTATTGGCCAAGGACAATTTAAATGCTCTATTCCTGTCCAACTATTTCCTACTAATTCAAATTGCTCATAAGGTAGACTAGAAACCACTTTTGGACAAAAACACCAAAGCAGTACACATATTGATTTATAGGTGTGTGGTCTAAATATATATCCCTAGATCAATTGTTAAGCAACCTGCTCCCAGAATCAAAATACATTCCACATACACGGCTCATTGAAATTAAGCATTCTTATCATTAAATGTAAGTGTACTTTCCCCTTTAGTTTAGCAATCTGAAGGTTCTCGTATAGCTACTTTCCCCTTGTTACAGGTAAGTGCAAAGGGAAGCACACTCACCTCCTATGCTCCTCCTCCTCCTCCTCCTTGTGGGTTCACCTGGAGTTTCACCTTCACTTTCTTCATATTCTTGCCGCGAAGGAGTGGAGACAGGATCATCAATGCCAAGCATAGTAGGTATCTTTTCCAGGATGAACTTTGGTACATGCCCTGAATTAGGGAACAATTGTTATGCATGTTATGCGGGGATTCCATTCCATAAGCCCACTCCATCCCAGTCCCTTTTCACGATGTCTTTATGACTTTGGGGGCGCTACTTCTGGGTCCAGTGCCATGCGCATGTTCGCAATTGCGCATCATTCAGATGCGCCCAACCCAGGAGCTGCCCATGCAAGGAATATCACAACTGCTAAAAATTTCTATGTCACACAAAATTATCACCGTACCTATTTTTTCTGCATGATCAATAAGCGTCTGCAGAACTGCCGCCTGCAAACGAAGCTTTCTCTCTGTATGAGCCGACATCTTGTCAGCTTCATTTGATTGCAAGAGGTTTGGAACAAAGATAACTGCCAGGTTGCTACTGCTCATTTTGTTCTCAGCAGATCTGGAAAAGAAAACCAAAAAGAGAATGGCATCAGAAGTTTCATACTAGTACAGTGGTACCTTTGGTTGCAAACGGGATCCGTTCCGGAGGCCTGTTTGCAACATGAAAAGCCCGCAACCTGAAGTGCCGTATCTGCACAGCGCGATTTGGTGCTTCTGTGCATGCGCGAGCGGTGAAACCCGGAAGTAACCCTTTCCAGTACTTCCGGGTCGCCGCGGGATGCAACCTGAAAAAACGTTAACATGAAGCAAACATAACATGAGGTATGACTGTATACAATTTCTGATTTTAAGACTGCAGGCAATAATTATTTCCCCTGCACAAACGTCTAGTCAGCACTGCACTTGAAGAGCTCTTGAGCATTGGCTCGTTAATACAGCTATTTTCTAGACCTTCTGCAACTAGCTTATCCTAAGCAGCACAAGATTCTGATTCCTCAAGCTTGCAGCCATCTTGGGCAAGGAGAAAAACGTAAAAAAGCACTTGAAGTCGTGTGGGAGCTACTTTGGAACCTACGCCATGCTTTCCCAAGTTTAACTATTGCTGTTAATTATCTCATATTGGCACAGGATTAAGAAGGGACCATTTTCAACATTCCCTATTGGATTTGGGGAAGTACTGGGGTAGGGAGGAAGAGACACACAGGGAAATTCAGAGTAAGCAGCATGACCAAGGGAAAAGAAATGGGTGGGGCATTTGAGTATACTGTTCTGATAGAACACTCTGATGGAGTGATACAGCCATTCAGCAATTGTTACTTAACTCAAGAGCTGGTTCCTGCATTGGTAAGGGGGAAGAAGCAAGGTTCATTTGGTTAAAATTAGATATTATTCCTTCATAGACAAGGCAAGACACCTAAGCTCTGTGAGCACTCGAGAGAAATGAAATAAAAGTATTTCATGAAATCTAAGCATACAGGTTGCAGAATAGTTTTATACAAAGATCAAGTTTTTTGGGGAGGGGATATTCCCATCTGCTAACGGTTCGTCTAATAATTTCAGTGCAGTTTTTTATTCCTCACTTTGTTTTTTTGGGGAGTAGTGCATGTATGAGCATGCTTTAAGTTAGTACTTTTATATTTGATATATCTTTCTTTTCTAAACTACAGGTTATGACCCAAAGGGCAAGTGAATGTTTAGCCTTAAATTAGTGTAGTTGTTTAGAAATTGGGTTGATATTAGGAAGGAACTCCTCTACATGGCAATCATTGGTATGGGAACAGATGATTGGGGTGGAGATTATACTGCTTCATATATCTACATATTTATTTTTGATTGTGGAAGACTGAGATTTGTTTTTATTCTTTAGAAATAGCACATGCACACGTGTGTGTGTTTTTCTAGCTACCTGTTCAGTGGCAAGAAAAGATATCCTACTAAATTAAATAAAAGGCAAGGAGCAAAAACTGCACTCCCATGATGTGAAACATTTTAGTGCTATTCCAAGCACAGAGGGCCAATAGTAAGCACAACTTACCTTAGAGACACTTTTTTGAGAAACATGAAAAAATATCTGAGTATATTGATTATTCTGTCATTCATAAGACAGGAGAGCAGCAGTGTGGCAGAATTCTTCTCCTCGCTGCCCAATTGTTGGGCTTTGATGAGAGCTTCTTGCAGGTCACTTGGGAGAATGGGCTCAGGCAGTTCTCTGAAAAACTGCTTCAGAAGCCCTGCAACATCACAGGGCTGAGCAGTTGACAGGCAGTTTTCACCTTGATCCAGTTTACCCTAAAAATAAAATAAATAAGTTTTAAAACTGACATTGCCATAGTGAAAAAGCACAGAACTGGGTGGACGACCATACAGCCATTTGTAAAAAATGTTGAGATATTTGAAGGCATATTGGCACAGATAGTGTTAACCATTTACTTTAAGTGGTTATGGAAGTGTAGGCAGAACCTGCCTTATTTTTAATTTTGTACAGTGCATAGCTGGTATTGTTAGGCACTTTACTTAGAAAGACAGACTGAGAAAGACAGCTGTTACTGTACCTTTAATGCTTTTATGCGAACAACTGATCCGGATATTCTGAAGAGCCCTTCAGTGCTAATGTGTTCTTCCAAATATTTACATGCCTCAACTAAGAAGCTAAAGGGAAAACCGAAAAACAATCAGTATGTTTGGCATTAAGAATTCAATCTTTGCAAACAAAGAAATATTAAATTATGTCCATACTGATATATATCAGAAAGTAACATCATTTTGCACGCGGGGGAAAGGGAAGGGGCTTGAGTCCGCTCACGGCTCCAACACACTCTATTGACAAAACCACACACTGTCACCAGAAGCAAATGATCTTCCAATTTGACGTAAAAGCCAAACAAAGCTTTATATAAAAAAATTAGGTTTAAATTGACTAATTTGGCGAAAAGGAAGCCAAAAATGATTTCTGATTTCTGCAGACAGGTTCGGCAAGGGACGTTTTTGTGAATGGGAGACAAATAGGCATTACAGCCATGGAGATTTAGTAACAATTTGACATGGACCTTGGAGACTGTTTCCTTCTTTTGGATATATATTTGAAACAGTTGTGTCAAGTTGCCTTTTTTTGGGGGGGGGGGAAGAAGGATACAAATTGACAGCTGGAGAGAATTTGACAGACTGATAATTCTGGCAGAGTAAGAAGCAAAAAGGTTGGGGGGGGGGGGAGAAAGGCTGTGGAAACACAAGCACTAAGCCCAGACCCTGGAACTTGGAGGCACAAAAGTGGGGCTAAGCAGGGCAGTTCCAGATTTAATCAGTTCAGCTGTCCTGCATCTTCCTTGTGCTCCTGACCAATAGCTTGTAAATGAAAAAATAGTTTTTCTCCCCAAACGTTATCTATTGCAATTGCTTTTCACCACCTCCAGTTACACAATTTCAAACAGCACTGTTTCACAATGCTCTACTAGAAAAGCGTACAATCTCCCTTCTATCAGGACAAAAGGTCATTGTACGCCTGATGGTGTGATCATGGGAATGTTGCAATTTCCTTTCTCCTCATCAATATGAAGAACTTTCCTTCCTTGGCACAAACCATTTGTGGGGTGGGGGACAGAAACAAATTTCAGGAGTTGATCGCATGAATTATTCTCTCCCCAGATTTACTTTTATATTTGTACCAGAATAAACTGCATGAAGGCCTAATTATGCCTTATGTCTGCTATATTATAGGTTTTGCTTACCAAGGTATACGATCATATTCAGGCACATCTTGATGAGGTAATTCATGAAGAGCTATTCCAAATATTTTGCCCTAAGAAACAAAACAAAACAACTTTTTTCAACAAGTAGCAGAACACAGAGGTAGTGCACAAAGGACACTAGAACTACTGATTCTTATGAATTAAACACCCTTTTAATCTTGTCAGTATCTTTTGAAGTGCATGCACAGCACTTTCATCAGGGAATTAACTTGCACTTACTCTGTACTGGATGCAAAAGGACTCGCTAATGCCAACAGACCTGTCTAAAAGAGCTTTTTGTGATGTAAACACTTCTGAAATTATTGTGCACAACTGCAAGCACAAATCATTGCTTCCATTCTACCCTATGATAGTGATTTACATAGTTTAATATTTTAAAGTGGCAAATCAAGAGAAAAGAAATTCAACAAGGTATGCCTTCTATAGTGGTTCAGTGAATACTGATTTAGTACAATACAAACTTGTATCTTACACCTTGTTTCATCGGATGAAGGAACTACTCATTTTTCAGCCTAAGACTGGACCACAAATAGTATTCTTATCTACCGTATTTTTCACACCATAGGACACACTTTTTCCCTCCTAAAAAGCAAGGGAAAATGTGTGTGCGTCCTATGGAGCGAATGCAGGGGGGAGGCAGGCAGCAAAAGCCCCCAAGAGCCGCACACAAGCTCCGTGCGCTCTTGCGGGCTTTTCCAGTAGTAAGGTGGGGTGGGATGATTTATTAAAGAGAGAAGTATACACAATAGCACAAAATAGGGGGGGAAATCTCCGTTTTTTACTCTGTGCTGTAACTTCAGAGTTGAAAGAAAGCCTTTACTTGTGTCTATGTGCTCATGGGGAACCTAAAGGCATATCCTTATGATACTTTCCATAGGAGTAGCTAAGTTGCAGCAAACACATAATGAATGCTGTGGCACCTTAAAAACTAACAACAACAACAACAACAACAACAACTTATCACAGGCTTGAGCTTATTTCATCAGATGAAAGGATTTTATCCTGGGTTGGTAGGATATGGGAGCAGAGAAGTGGGGTGGAATCTATGAGATCAGAGCTCAATGAAAAACACCAAACACTGATAATTACATTAAAGCTGAAAGTTGCGTAAACTAATTAAGGAGCCCACTCAAATGTACTTTTGATGCTGCATAATAAGATCAAGGTAACTGTGTTGCAAGAAATACAGTGATAACTGCATTGAAGTATAAATGTATATAACTAATTACAGTGACCACTCACAAATTATTTATTACATTTATATACTGCCCTTCATCCAAAGAACACAGGGCAGTTTAAATCAATACAAAGCAGTATTGATTCCTCACCGAATCAACAAATCCTCTATTTCTGAAGTTTGAGAAAAGGGAACATTATCTCCCTCGGCCTATGCAAGAAAATAAAGAAAGCACACATTGCAGCACAACCCAAAGCATGGCTACTCAGAAGCAACTCCCACTGGCTTTAACGGGACATACTTCACAATTGACCCTATTGAACACAGCTGGCTTTACTTTTGAGTAAAAATGCATAGGATCTGACTGCACACCTCATGCAACCCATCATTTTTAATAAGGCCACAGCAAGTCCCTGGGATCTCCCGGAAGGGCTGGGAAAGAATCCTGCCTGGAAATCAAGAGCCCCTGTCAGTCAGATGTTTGATGTCAACTGGTGGTATGCTCTCACCTGCAGCCTGATCTACAGTAATCACAACCAGAATTGCGAAGTTACATGGTTTAAATAAATAAAAAATGAAGTCCCTCCCCACAAATACCCGTTTGGGTTTAAATACGGATCTTGGATCCTAAACTCTTGAAGAGTCAATACTAAAAGACTAGGGAGTCCAATAATTCAGTATGAAGAAGCTTCCTACGTTTTCAAAAAGATGAGTCTGACATGACTGGCTAGTTTCTCCTTATTCAAAGGACAGGCAGCCTGAGTAAGGACCTGGAAGTCTGCACAGCAAATCTAGCTTTTTTTTTAAAGAAGGCGCCCCCCAAGAAGTCAAGCGGGTCGCCTTCTAAGAGCGCCTTCTCAACCCAGTGCTTTTGTTTTTGAATGACTTTAGCGCACCTTTGCACAGAGTGGCTGGATGGGCGGGGTATAGTATTATTATTATTATTATTATTATTATTATTATTAGGGTGGACGTGGTGGCACAAGGCTCAGCTATCTGGTCAGACCCCCCCCCGCCTTTTTTCTCGCCTCCCGCGCAGCAGGCGGGCAGCGGAAAAGCTGCGAAGGGCCCCGAGTCGCCTGAACCCGGTGCAAACCGGGCGGCGAAGGGGAGCTCCAAGCCCCGGGCTTCCCTGCTCCGAGTCCTCCAGGGCTCCCCGGCTGGCGTGAGGGCGGCGCCCTTCTCTGCCTCTGCCGCCCCGCCCCCCTTTCCCCCGACTCCACTCACCTTCCCCTCCCCGGCAGCGGCGGGCAAGGGCTTCCCTTTCGCCGGCCGGTTCTTCACCTTGATCCCATAGGCGACTCGGAGCTGCTGCTGCACCGCCAGCTTCGCCAACCCTCTTCCGCGACTTTCCAAGGCCTCCATCCCAGTCGCCGTCGCCGCTGCTCTTCGCCGTGGCCTCCGTCGGCCGCGTCTCGCCTCAAACTGAGCGCCTCCCGGCCCCTCCTCCTCTCCGATTGGCTCATTTCCCTGTTCGAAATCACAAGACCCCAACGGCTGGCGCCGAAGGACGTGCCTCGGCAAACGCCCGGTATGGTTGCTGGCAGCCTTCGCTCGAGGCCACGGCGACTAGAATATTGGCGGTTGCAGTGGGAAGCGGGGGGAGTAGCAATGTGTCGCTTACGAGCGTCGGCTTCTCTTTCCGAAGTTTTCCTATTCAGGATTCGTGAAATTCAGGCGTTTCGCGAGGTCAGCTAAAGGGTCCTCGCACTTCAAAAATAAAGCAAACATAGACACAAGAACGTGAAGACTGACTAGCCTTTGATTTGGAAGCCTGTTACAGACCATTTCCACGCAACGGGAGATAACGGGGGGGGGGGAGCAGAACTTTAATTATAGCTGTGATTTATTTATTTTTTGTAACGAAGTTTTTATTCATGTGCATCTTTTAACTGTTTAACATGGTTTGGTTGATTATGTATCTTTGTTTACTTTAGAGCACATGACACACAACAAATACATAAAAATAAAAAAAAAGCAATAAACATTCAAATAAACTTTTTCTGAATGTATCCAAGTGTATATGCCAAAATTGTGACAGATAAGAAATTGTGTATAGTAGTTATGTGTATTGCTTATTTTGTATCAGTAACAGAATTTATAGGAAGGGGGAGGGAGGGGAGAAGAAGGGGGAAATAAACTGAAATATATACTTCATGCATGCCAAATTGTGCCGTAAACTATGGGTACTGTTCTACCATGTGCCTCATTATTTGCATAATCAATAAAGTAACACCAGACTGCATAATAATAGCTGTGATTTAGTAACATTGTGTCATCATTCCTTCCTTCCTCCCTTCCTCCCAAACTACAAAGAAGCAGCAAGGGCAAATGTTCATGTTCTTTTCACGCGCAGCTTTCATTATATTAAAACATTGATTTAGGGACATTTTTTTTAGATGACCCAAGCCATGTTTTCTGCTCTAGCAGCAGGAGAAACAAACTGCTGAATATTATTTTTGCCATATTGCCTTTGGAGGAAGGAAGCAGAGAGAGAAAGTTATCCTCATATTGAAGTGTTTCTCCTTCTCATAACACTAAAGCCTGGAGTCATCCAGGGCAGGCCTAAAATATTTTGCTGCCTGAAGGGAAACGGCTTATTGCACACACTCTCAAGTCAAGGTGCATAGTAACCAAGGCCAGTCAGCAGTGCAGTTTAGAAATTAGAACCTGGACTTACTGGCCTTATGAGGGAGGTGACAACTAACACATATCTTTTCCCCTCACCCTCACCATTCCCTGTTTTACAACTATTTCTGTGCCAGACCATGCAGGAGTTTTACTTTCTGAACTCAGCTATGCAACTATATAATGGACACAAAAACATCACCTTATGTAGGAAACTGATTGCTAATGTACAGTACATACTTACAGGTATACAGCTTCAGCGTAGAACACACCAGAAAATCAACCGTCTGCAGGCAGACTGACTTATTTTTTGGGGGGTGGGAATTGTTTGTGTGCACAAGTTAGTTGCGCAGGAGTTCTAAATCAACTTTAACTGTCCAACCTGAATTTGCTGGTATGTGATTGAATCCCACCCCAAAATAGTGACAGGTTGAAAGTGTAAGTGACCTCAAAGTCAAAGGAACTTCAAAGGGAGACTTCAACATTAAACCACTGATTTAAAATATGTCAGGAGACTCAGTGCTATCCTTTGAACTGAATTTCGACAAAGGGTTTTTATCACACCACGTGCTAATTGTTGCTACAATCATTTATATCCCACCTTTCAGAATAAAAATCCTTTCAAGGCAGTTTGCAACTAAATAACGTAATTTAGAAACACAACAAACAAAGTTGTTACCAAGGCAAGGATGTATATGTTATTGAGAAAGTTCAACATCAGAATGAACACAGTGAATTGCGTAATTATTACTTTCTGGACATCTATTCATTTTATTTCCCCATCCTCATAGTTTACAATCCACACTCTCAAACAAGGTGCCACAAGACCATTTGGGTGGGACCCACTAAGCAGGGGTCAGCAAACTTTTTCAGCAGGGGCTGGTCCACTTTCCCTCAGTCCTTGCGTGGGCCGGACTATATTTTGGAAAAAAAATAATGAACGGATTCCTATGCCCCACAAATAATCCAGAGATGCATTTTAAATAAAAGCACACATTATGTAAAAACACCAGGCAGGCCCCACAAATAATCCAGAGATGCATTTTAAATAAAAGGACACATTCTACTGATATAAATACATGCTGATTCCCGGACCGTCCACGAGCCGGATTTAGAAAGCGATAGAGCTGCATCCGTTATTCCATTGATTTCAACAGTTGTATTCCTTGTCCCTTTGTTTGATTGTTTTTTAAATATGCTTGTTACTCTACATATTCCTATCTCTAGGGGAAGAAGAGTACGGTGGCCGATAGGAACCAGAGTTTGGTTGGCTCGAGTAATCTTGCTCACATAGGATAAAAGGGAGCAAATTTTCCTTGTCTGGTGCAATGCCAACCAAACCATGCTTGTGCTGCACTTTCACTGAACTGCAGGAGGTTTCCTAACATGGAACACTGTATATCACCCCACCACTCAAGAATGAGGCTTAACACAAAAAAATATTTTATATTTAGGCCATTAAAAAAAAAAGGTTGTGGTATGTATGTCTCGAATCAGGGCTTGTTGCAAGCAGGGCACAAGTGTAGTTAGCATCTGCACAAGGCTATTGCTTGTCACCAAGGAAGTAATTAGTCTCAGCCTGGAACCTCCATGTAGGGATGTGTGACTGCCAGCACAACCATCCAGATCCAGATTAATGCATACAGTTAAAGGAGCAAATGACTGTCCTAGGAGCCAACTTCTAGGGTCCAAGGTCCCTTCGCCCCCCCAAAAAATATTTGAGGGGCCCTGGGCCTCTCAAAAGTTGATAGGCATTGCCATTCAAATGGTGTTCCTGTGCCACAATTTGTGATTGGTTATGCAAGACGGGGCTTACCTGCCCCTCCATATTTTATTTAAGTTTGCACCCCTGGTATGTATAAACATAACGAGCAGAATGGAAAGTGAACTGGCCATTTGATTTAAGGCTCCCGCTATTAGGCATAGGGAGCAAGCCCCATAGAACACAGGCATAGTAAACACACATAGGATTGTACTCCCAAATGGGAAACATGCCTGTGTAGGTGGCCAGAAAAAAGTCCAGAAAAAAGACACCACTATGTCATGTGAGACGGAAACACGGGATGAGTGGTGTTTAGATCTGCCTTGATGGTTCTAAAAGAGCAGAACAGCCTCGTATGCTATACCATGGTCAATATGTCTCTGTTTATTGTAAAGTGGCCTATATAACACAAGGGGGAGCTCTGGCCTGAAATATCGAAACTCTTTTTCCCTTTATTGGCAACGCTGGTCATTATTTAATAACCTATTTTGCCTGGTAAATAAACAGTTTTCTGCCTCAAAGTACCATGTACACTGCAATAGTCATCTGTAAAGGATCATCACAGCCTTTCTGTAGTTAGCTCACTGTGGAGTCAAGTCTGAGGCTACTTCCAGACCCTTGCTAATTGGAATGGGATTCAATAATATACCATCAATTTCAGGTTGTGCAATTATAGTTAATTGGGAGGTCCTGTGCAACAAACCTGCTTCCCCAAAAGATCAGTCTTTTCCCAATAAGGAAAGCAGAGGGGAAATGCACTGGAAAGTGTGAAGTTACAGTTGTGATGTAATGTCATCTAACCTCCCCACAAAACAATCAGAATGAATACTTAATAAATACATCTGAAAGCACCCTACATTAGGATGCCTGATGCTGATCTCCAGTCTATTCTTTGAAATTATAGTCTGTATCTGAATGCTGCTGTTCACAGTCATCTCTAGTCATATTTTCATTTTTGTCTCCCTGCGTCAGAGACAGATATCTTCAAAGACTGGATTCTCTCAGTCAGCGTGGGAAGTGGATATGGGAAAGTGAGTTGTGCGTTTAAAATTATGGCGAGAAGAAAAGCATGCAGTGAGAACCATTATGCTACAAAATTGCTCTTCAGCTAGGAGTTGTCAATGAAAACCATTAAGATTCCAAGCTCTTTTCTTAAGACGATGACATTTAAAACTTTCAAGACAAAAAGCAAGTCTTGATAGAATGTTAACCCATGTGATGTAGAGTCCATGGAGCCTTAGCGCTACAATTCTATATCCAATTACCTGTTATTAAGCCTTAATGAACTCTGAGGACTTACTTCTGAGAAGACATGTATAGGAATGCACTGTTTAACAGTAGTAGTGAATCAATAAACTATTTCAAAAGAAGCAACGTTCTGATTATAAAGAGTATCATTTACATCAGCGGGTGGCTCTGCAAATTGTAGAACATGGACTGAACAGATTTCTTATTTATCTGTGGCATCAGAGAAGGCAGCCCTGTATTGGGAAGTTTTTAATGTTTGATGTTTTACTATGCTTTATATATGTTGTAAGCCAGCCAGATGGGCAGGGTATAAATGAAATAACAAAGAAAACAACAATTAATAATACTAGTTATAATTCATAAATAAAAGCTGGTTGAAAGGGAAATAATGTCTTCATGCACCTAAGTCTTCTGGTACTGAAAGCCCTTTAACTTCATTGAGGCTTATGCATGAGCAAAAATATGAGCTCTAAGTAGTTTGGAAGTACTACTGTACTGATAAAAGGTTTGCTCAACAAATGTGTTGTTTAGAATTAGACTGTCAGATTTCAAGAGAGGATTATCTCTACTATCAGCTACTGAATCTTTCACAACCTGTACTGTTCCCCACCTTCACCCCAGTCTCATTTTCTCATAATTTTGTTGGAGCAACACAGCAACCACACCCTTAATTTTAAGTCTCTTGTCAGGCACACTTTTCACTTGCCACCTCAGAGAGCTTCCAGGCTGTCACCATTTTGCAGGTGGGGTTCAAGTGCATACTGAGAAATTCAAGTTGCACAATTAAAATGGATTTGGCAATCTCACACAACAGTCTGCTTCCAAAAAAAGGACTTTTTTTTGTAAGGAAAGTGATGAGAAAATGCACTGGAAGGTGGGGGTTGCTTGACTGAAGTTATATTACTTCCCTGGCAAACAATGCTCAATAAACAAGT